CGGGGGGGGGAGAGAAAACTGGTCTGACTGCTCGTCCGGGCAGCCAAATCGGAAGGCTCGGCGCCGTCTTGGTCTTTTCGGTAGTAGGAAATGGGCGCCTTCAAGAAAGTGTTGACTCCTGGCGTCGTACGGAGAATTCAGACAAATTCTCTGGGGCTCTGCTTTTAGGTAGGCCGGGTGGACACGGATTCTTTGGGAAGGGGGGGGGAAGATAGGAGCAAAGAGGAGTGCCTCTGAGCATGCCTAGAGTGCCGCAACCCGCGTCGCTCGTTATCCAGAGGGACGAGGTCACACGGCCGCCAACCAGGTGGGCAGGGCACAGATAGGGCAAGGAGGGCGATCTCCCCCTCTGCCGCTGGCATTTAGGGGGCAGCGACCACATTCGTAGCTTGACACCCCACTGAATTTGTCCAGGCCCCTTGGAGCCACCCTGAAGGCTGCTACGCTTGGTTTCAATGCAGCGTCTCCTAGTCTTTTGGGTATGTGGACTTCAACTCCCGTCGCTGAGAATTCTGGGAGCGAACCAGAGGCTTATGGGGCAGAATAGGGCAATGTATTGAACATATGGGAGGTGCTGACCTGGATATTGCAGGCTTCCTAGCTAAAATAGGGCAATGTATTGAAGCTATTGTATAGCAGTGTTCCTCAACCTCAGCAACTTTAAGATGGGTGGACTGCAACTCCCAGAATTCCCCAGCCAGCCATGGGGAATATTGGTATAGCATATACAGGCCTACCTCGGAGATATTGTGGGTTCAGTTCCAGACCACTGCAATATAGAGAATCACATGAATGTTTTGGTTTTCCAATGCATATAAAAGGTTTACGCTACACTGCAGTCTGTTAAGTGTGTGGTCACCTCATGTCTAAAAAATAATGTACATACCTTGAATTAAAAAATACTGTGTTGCTAAAAATGCTAATCACTGTCTGAGCCTTGCTCAGCGCAGGGTTGCCACAAACCTTCAATTTGTAAAAAAGGAAACGTAAGATCTGCAAAGCACAATAAAGCAAAGTGCGATAAAACCAGGCGTGCCCATATTGCCCCCTGAAAAATAGGGAAGTGTATTTAATGTATAGAACATACTGCCCCTGGGTGGCTGTGTTGGGGTACTGCAGCCCCAGTGGAGAAAATAGTGCACTGTATTGAGCCTGTAAAATATGCTGTCCCTGGTGGCTGACGTAGGTACTGCAAGCTCTATAAATCTGGCAGTGTATTGCAACTATAGGGCATAGTGTCTCCTGGTGGCTAAACTGGCTATTGCTATTGCAGGCTCAGTCGAAAAAGGGCAATTATGGTTACTGTTATGATATAATAATTAATAATCTGTCAGCCGTTCAGACAGGAAACCAAACCTTCAGTCAAGAAACCGAAACCATGAGTTTATCGTAGGGTTACGGTAACAGAATCTTGCAAGTCTGAAAGCATTTCTTTCCTCCCCTGCCTTTACTGTCCAGAGAACTAGGGAGGGTCCCTTCTGAGATGCTTTCCCCACTCCCCCTTCCTTCTGTGGGCTGAGATATCTCTTGCTTGGCCATTGCCTAGGTTCTGGCTCTTCCTCCTGCCTCCCAAGATTATTCTCACAGCTCATTACGTAATCATTATAAAAGTTGACTTATACAATTACTGCATTATATTTATCCCCATTGAGGCTGCTATACCCAAGTCGGCTAAGGGGGGTGGGCAGTAAGTGTGATAACTTGAATAACCCTAACTCTAATCCTAACCCTTGTTCTAGCCATTCAGCCTGCAGTACCCAACTCAGCCACTTGGGGCAGTTAGCATAAATAATATATAATAAAATAGTATATTATGTCCAAACATAATGTTGTTATTGTAGAAATGATAACAATAAAGTATTCTTCCTTCCTTCCTTCCTTCCTTCCTTCCTTCCTTCCTTC